GGGACCTAAATTTGTCTCCACAACCCCAGCAAGACATGTCTACACACATGTACATGCCCTAACAGAAGCTGATCTGCAACTAGAAAATGCATTTCCTGCTGAAATGCATGTGAANGCCCGAAAGGGTGCTGGGAGAGGCTCCAGCTCCCCCGCGACCCTACTAGAGGATAAGCGGTAGAAAATGAATGAATGAATGAATGTCTACACACATGTACATGCCCTAACAGAAGCTGATCTGCAACTAGAAAATGCATTTCCTGCTGAAATGCATGTGAATGCTGAGAGCTGAATGAGATTGCTGAAGCAATGCTGAAGAAGCTAAAGCAGTGGCTGAAGATTAAAAGCAGAACTTGTAATCTGGAGGTTGAGCGCTTCGAAAAACTAGATGCCAAAATGTTAAACTGAAGGAGCTGAANGATACACTAAATTGACCATAGGTGTGAGTGTGAGAATGAATGGTTGTCTGTCTCTGTGTGTTTGCCCTGCGATGGACTGGCGACCTGTCCAGGGTGTACCCCGCCTCTCGCCCGAAAGGGTGCTGGGAGAGGCTCCAGCTCCCCCGCGACCCTACTAGAGGATAAGCGGTAGAAAATGAATGAATGAATGAATGTCTACACACATGTACATGCCCTAACAGAAGCTGATCTGCAACTAGAAAATGCATTTCCTGCTGAAATGCATGTGATGCTGAGAGCTTAAAAGCAGAACTTGTAATCTGGAGGTTGAGCGCTTTGAAAAACTAGATGCCAAAATGTTAAACTGAAGGAGCTGAAGTTCCTTCGCTGCAAAAGCTGAGAACTGAAACATGTTTAAAGCCAAATCATTTACTGTAAAAGGTGGAAGTAGGAATAAAATGCCTTACAACTGTGAATGAAATCATTTGTATTAGTAAAAGAAATATGAACTGCATCCTAAACATTAGAAAAAGTAATTTCTTTTAAGAGTTACACTACACAGGAATTGGTCTCAGTTGTGAAGTTTGTAAATACAGAACAATCTGACCTGTTAGTAGCACCTAATGGAAACCCCTAACGATGAAGAGCTGATGTTACATCACATGTTTGACCTGCATTCAGTTCATGATTTGTCAAACTGTCAAAATTCGGATCACTCTTTTTCCACAGCTTGATGAGCTCTACAGTTTTATGTCACATGATCTTTCTGGTCAGTCATGGTCGAGGTGTTTCATGTGCACAGATCAGCAGTGTGCTGGGTCGCTCACAGAGTTTAAACTCTGACCGTCTGCTGAACACTGTGAAGTTTCTGTCAAAACAACAGGAGGATGTGATAGCAGCACACTGCTATCACATCCTGGCATCCTCCCATCCTCACACTGGCTTCCCACAAGATAATCAAACAAACAAAAGTTTCCATGGAAACAGTAGAATTTTACTGCTGTAAAATCTCTTTCACTGCTGTAAATAACTTTTCTTAATTAAGCCTTAAATGAGATTTTGTGCAACACCCTTAAGTGACTCCCTCAGCTAAGGGGAAATTAAACCTTTATTGTTATACTAAAGTAGAAAACTTAAGGTGCCTTGTGCAACCGGCCCCTGGACCTCAGGCTCCACTATTGTTCTGGGTCCTTTTCTCGTGTTAACACTATTTAGTTTAACAAACACATGCAGACACAAACTAAACCAAAATATTTTAGGCATGAGGATCATTCATCATCCATCACAGTCTCAGTGACAGAACAGCATCTACTCTCCAAAAGACTTACAGAATGGACAACACACCAACGTGTCAAATGGCCTGTGACCATGACGACAGTCTGATTTACAATGTACATAGTCAACTGTGAAGGCTGCAGTGGAAAAAATAAAATGATAACCAGAGCTTTTATAACACAGTTGCTCTCCTCTGTAGTTTGCCCTGTGTGGTTTTCAAAATATCAAAATCAAGTTGACTGTATCTCAAGTGTATCTTTAAGTGTGGATGAACTGCTGTTCTCCTCTACACCAGGAGGTGCTGCTGAGCTGTCGGGGCTCATTGAAGTCGGCGATGAGGTCCTCTCCATCAACGGCTGCTCTCTAGAGGGTCTCATGCACCACGATGCCTGGAAAATCATCAAAGCCACTAACAAAGGGCCCAACACCCTCCTCATCCGCAAGCTGAACACCTGACTGTAGGGAAAACCTCCTGAGGGGGGGCCACTGTGAAACTGCCCTCTAAACTAGGGTTTGGACAAACAACAGAAACCAGGACGAGCAGGTTTTTTTTTTTTTTTTTTTTTACAGGTTTTCTGATGGACTTTATTTGATTTTGTGTTTTGTCTTGTTTCATGTGTTTGTACCTATAAATAGGTCAAAGAGGATGGAGCACTAACTTTTGTGGTGTTCAGAGCTGAATCTATTTCAGACAGGAAGTGCAGTTTGTTTACATTAGATTCACTTTGGAACGTTTTTAAAATAAAGTCAGTTTGTGAAATGATCTCTGGCTGGGTGTGCTTCTGGTCTCCATGGTAACAGTTGTTAATAAGCACAAATGGGAGAAATCGGTATAATTAAATCCTAGTAACTGGCCAGAACCCAAGCTGGGTCTGGTAGGGGCCTGTTGTATTGATGGGAGATAAAAGGTATCACAACATGAAAGAATTCACCATCAAAACGTTTCTGTAATTTTTTATGCCTTCACAGCGGCGATGGCCAGAGCTGCAGGCATACTGTTTTCAGGTTGTACAGCCGTACGTCTCATTCTCGGGGACACAATATCTCAGTAACACCTTAATGGAACTTAAAATTTGGCACAAACATTCAATTGGACTCACGGAGGAACTGGTTACATTTGGTGGTCAAAGGTCAAGGTCATGATGACCTCTTCAGTGTGAATACCACAATTTTGAATTTGCTCTCGTTGAAAGGGCACCAGTCCTCAGGGAGGACAACTTTATTGAATCTATTGATTAATTTGATCAATCTCGCAACAAAAGCAGTGATTTCTTGATGACATTGATCTTCGATCTCCGCTTCAAGGAAACACACAGGTTAACGACTGGGTCAAGTTAATAAGATTTATTAACTCACTATGGACAGGTGCAATGACATGAATAATGAAGATAAAAAAATGAAACTGCATCAAACAATATCAGGGGTGTGTGTAGTGGGCTTGACAGTTATTGCCACCAGTTAGACTTTTCCCTCTCTTTTCTTTGTTTCAATTGTGAGAGAGAGAAATATAATTTTAATTTTGTTTCATTTAATTTGGTTTTACGCGTGTTGTGTATCCTACTCCCACCATGGCCTATTCATATTTAACAACAGCCTACGTGAACTACATAGCTATTACTAGGAATGGATAAATGGAACAACGATATTATAATAGGTTAATGGCACACATAGAATACACTGACTAACAGAGCGATAACAATTCCTAATCACACAAATAAATGGCTAAAGACATGACATCCATCAAATAATAATAATAAAGTGATGCACCAGATTGTTTCATTCCCTAGAGGATAATGGATCCAGAATGGTCCCTACATGGCAGTATTGTCACGTGGTGGATATTTACCTCAGAACTGATCAGACATATCTCAGCTTCCTTTTGAGCTACAGAAATGAATTTTGGACTATAATTCATGGAAATCTTTCCAGAATAATGATAAAAGAATTACATGGTGATGAGACATTTAGTCCAATGATACTTTAAACACACTTTAATAATGTGGAACATTGGTTGTCAGTTCAGGTTGGAATGTCGGGTGGTTTCTGGCAGGAGCCTCATGGTTGCAACATGGACTCAGTGTCACTCTGGGGGGTATGTTGTGTGTGTATCCCATTTGCTGTAGGGGCGTTGATTCAGGATGAGTTCCATGAACTAGCTGTAAATTTCACTGACATGGGAGGCTTTTCTTGATAAATCAGAGCAACCCAGTGTCCTTACCGTCACCCTTGTATCCTCATACTGGCGCCAATCAGTGTCTGCTACACCTCACAAAATGCAGGTTTGGCCTTGTGAACGCAATATCTCCGTAACTCTTCAAGGTAATTTCTTCAAATTTGGTTTACCTGGACTCAAGGACAAACTGATTACATGGCTAAAGGGCAAAGGTCAAAGGCCAAGGTCACAGTGACCTTACAGAACATGATTTTGGCCTTGTGAACACAATACCTTGAAAACTCCTCAAGAGAATACCTTCAAATTTCAAAAATGTCTACTTGGACTCATGGATGAATCAATTAGATTTTGGTGGTCAAAGATCAAAGGTTAAGGTCACCTAGACCTCACAAAACACTTTTTAGCCATTACTCAAGACTTCACACAGCAATTATGACAAAATTTCACACAAATGGTTTATACTTTCTATGACTCTGGATAAACAGGGATGTCATTCGAAACTAGGCTGAGTGGCGGAGGCAGACAACCACAAGGCGGTAATTCTAGTTCATAATGTCATGTTTCAATCAGAAAAGGTTCAATAATTATTTCATTAATTGAACTGTGAAATACATAAACTGTGGTAAGTTTTAAAGACAATAACTTTACACATAAAATGATTCTAAATATATGAACTGTACATGGAAACTTTTTGGTTTTTGATTGACTGATGAGTAATGTATGGAAGCCTGTAGGGGGCTATATTCAAATGAAAATGTAAAATGTAATTCCATATTAGCATTATAAAATGTTCACATATGTTTGTGCTATTTGAGTAAAAATTTAAAAGAAAATGCAATAATCCAGTTTGCTTCTTAATACAAAGAGTTTCTACTTTTCACAGAGATGGTTTTTGATCATTTTTTAGAGGTTTCATAAAAACTAGTCCAGTTATCCAGAGGCCCATTCCTTATCTGATATTTATCAAACTTCTGAGAATGACACAGAAGTCAAAAGAGAACTTTAGAAATTTTTAGCAAATTTATTAAAAAGGGGAAACTGAAATTTGACATTGACAAAAGTATTCAGACACTTTACTCGGTATCTGTGATCTTTCAGCACAACATTCAACTTATATTAATTCTCATTAATTCTCTTCACTTTTCCCACAGGAACCTTCCATGTATGTAATTATATCATTATATTGTTGATAAATAACAGCTTGAGCAGGAGCAGAGCGCACGCTCTGGTTACAATGACAGAGTGCACGTGTAAGAAATGACCAGTAGATGTCAGTAAAAGCTCACAGACAGGTGAAGAAACACAGCACCTTAGTGAACCTGCGCTGACATCTTGACTCCATGTCCTCATTCACTGGATATAGTAACTGAACACTCATATGTTTCAAAGGAGAACTTTCATATAGACCTTTTTCATGTTCCATCACATTTGGTAATTAATGTACAAAATACATGACATCAGCAGATAAACTAACTGTGTTACATGTATTAATGCTGGTTAGTGAGTGATCATTTTCAGTGCATGACGAACATTTTATTTAGACTTTGAATTCATGTTCATTTTTCAACAGCTTCATTTTTATCTTGATGATGATGCAGTTCAGTAAATAACACCTTAAGTTTACAATTAAACAAATATGGAGAATAAACTATGCAGTTATTCACTTGGGTAATTACGTGGACTTAATTTTTTTAGTCTTTTTGCAGAAACATGGGAGAAGGAGTACGATAACAAAGGAATGGGACTGGATATGTCATGATACAGGTTTCAGCTTTAATGAAGAGTTGCTCAAAACCTCCACCAAAGTGCAGACCTATGAGTGTGGAGCTATTACATAATTTCTCTCTTTCAAACTTAGGTAACTCTGCATCACATTATGACAAGCTCCTCCCCAACAACGTTAACATCAGACTGACCTCCTCAAAATAAAGAAAATCTCATGTATTTGTATTTGAGTAGATTCATGCCACAATGAGAGGATTGTTTTAATTCTTCATCAAAAAAGCCAATCAATAATTTAGTGCACAAAGTATGAAAAAATAATTAGAGATTATTACATGTAATCTGTGATGCAATAATTTCTCAGTAATGTGACTGATAGTCAAAACAAACTAAACATCTTAGACGCTGTGAAAAACAAAGTGTCAACACTGGAGTAGTTCATTTGATTCTTAAAAGATAATACAAAGCAAAGGATGTACAGGGGCTGTACTACATGGCTAAAAGTATGTGGACGATCCGTTGAACACAGTCATGAACGTTTCAGATTCTCCACCAGACTTTGGAGTCTGGCTGCAGAGATTTGTTCAGCCACCCGAGCATCAGAGTGGTCGGCCACTGATGTCAGGTGATGAAGACCTTTTGCAGGTAGAGTTCCAGCTTCATCCCTGAGGTGCTGGATGGTGGTTGAGGTCAGGACTCCAAAACTGGGAGAGCTGTTTCTTTATGGAAATAGCAATGCTTTACATCTAGCGCACATCCACACACCACTTAACATTAAAATAGTGCAGTTAGTTTACCAGACAGGAAATAGAAAAAAACATTAGTGGCCCTGTCTGTACAGTCTGCACAGAGGATTTGGAAATACACAAACAGAGCAGAGCAGCAATAAGAAAGTTCCCACAGACCGAACTACATCTGCAGATTAAAGATGTCATTACATGACGAGGTGCTGGGTTCAGGTTAATGACCATAATTGCAAAATATCTCCAAGTTGTACTCGTTGGTGTAATTTGGACATTTGAGATAAAGACGGCACAGAATTGTGCTTCAGATGCAGTATAATACTTCACCTTTTCATGTAATGATTTAATGATTTAAGTGTAATGAGAGCAGTGGAAAACATTGGCATGTACGTCAGCAAATTCCACTGCACCCGCCAGCAAACAAAAAGTGTCCTCTGAGAGACTGGGTAGGTGTGTCATTAGTGACACATGTTGATGTGCCACGATAAGTGGAAGGCTGCTACTAATTGAGCAGAGGATGTGAAGCTGAGGTCGATGTTATTTTTTCATCGTGGTCAGTCACTGTAGAAACAAACCTTTGAGCTGTGTTTGCCGTTCAACCTTCTCAACATTATTCTACATAGAGTCACAGCAAGTCCTGTAGGTAGCAGACAGAGACTTTTGCTCCAGTCCTGACATACTTGTACTTTGCGTAAATATTTTCATTTTATTCTACTTTATACCTCCAGAAAGTTTTTACTCCAGTTCATTTATTCAACTTTTGAAGATTGTTTTTCCAACCACATTTACAAAGTAGTTCAAATTAGCTCCTCTACACTTTGCTGAAATGCCTCCAACTTTTAATTACAGCTGCGTTAATTGATTTTTGGCCACCTGGGGGAAGCAGAGTGATGTTTGTGTCACCTGAT